AGCAAAGGGAATACCCAGGAGAGGTTATGCATTTAGAAAACGTGATAAAACTTGTTGGATGCTTTGGAAGAAAAGGGCATTTTTACAAATGGAAATTGTTTTGGGCAGGTCAGGATTCCCCTGCCAACTGTCCTGCTGCTGTTCCTGCTTCATCCTAAGCTGCTTGTGTTGCTTCTGTGATGATAGTTCTCTTTCTCCTAGGTATTCCTCTTATAGCAATAATGCCATCTTCTTTTACATTTACTGCTAGCAGTACCACAAACCAGCATCCTGTTTGCCTTCTTTATTGCAGCTGCATACGGGGCAGAAGGCTTTAGGGACTTTCATGCAATAATTCCCAAATCTTTTTCCCGTAAGTATACTGCAAACTCAGCTCACAACAGAGCATTTCCACCTAGTTCCTACTTTTATGATTTTTGTTTGTGTCATTTCACTTCTCAGTAATGTACATTTGTCTGCATATGCTACCAAAGGGCTTAAGTAGTCTGATCTTTTTGCTTCGTTCACATGTATTTTGTTTTAACTTAACATAAAGCCTACTTCAAAAGCCACCTTCTCCAAATCCCTGGCAGGCAAGGAGCCTGTAATTGTTTTGTATAAATATATTTACATTCAAATTATTATTCTTATGATTAAGAGAAAAAAAATTGGTGTGTGAATTATGGAAAATCTATCATGTGCTCAAGCCAAATAGTTCTATTGCTTCCGTTCGCCATGGTGAAAACAGCAGTACGGGGTTGTAGTCCACTAAATTTGCAGAATAATGTAGATCACTTCTGTTTAGCCAGTCCTACGATCTTTGTAAATCACTGTTTGGTCATTGATTTTTTTTTTCCATATCTCTAAATTATTCCCCTTTTTAAGGCATACATTTTAAAGGAAAAACTGCTGTTTATGGTGTGCACTCATTCTGTCTTGCATATGATTTCTATTAAAAATGCAGTATTTGAAAAATCATTAAAACACCTAGACTGGTAGACTTTATAAAAGGTGTCCAGTCAAGCAGCGTTCAGAAATGTGGACACTTTACGCTCAACGTGTTTCCCAGTAGGATTTTGAGTCAGATACTCCTGTCAGTCACACCCATGCAATCCCCCTGGGACACCTGGGAGGTTGCAGGGTGTAGTAGAGCAGAGTTTGTCAAACCTTTCAATTTCAAATGAATGTCAAGGTCTTTCATCTCTTGAGGTAATTATTGCCCAGCGATTAATTATGTCATTGCTACACCACCACTTATGAATAAGGCTACCGTGAAACTACTGTTCCACAAAAGGAAAAGACCTGGTCTTTATTGGGTGAAACAGACCCCTTGTGTACTCAGCTGGCCACTAAAATAAATGTTTTCCTTTTTGGGGTGGGATGGGGTGAAGGAAGGGGTTTTTCACTGAAAGGAAAGTAAGATTTGGGGCAATGAAATGGTCTTTTTCAGCCTAATGAAGAACTATTTTTTCACCAAAATCATCAGATTAGAAAAGAGGGAAATAACTGTAAAGATGTTTTATTTTACACAAACATCATACAGTCCTATGGAGAGAAGAGGAATGAATGCTGGCGTTAACTGATCTGAATCTTGGCCTTTTTCCATAACATTTAGGCTTGCTGTGTTCATATTAGATCAAATTTACCAACACATGTTATCACATGTAGTGAGGCTATGCCAGATTTATACCTGAATTATTCTTCTAGTTGCAAGCGATTGTAATTTATGGAATTATAACACAAAGGACTTATCCAATAAAGTAAAACAGTTCTCCCACCCACCTTTGTTGATTTGACTGTTTTTTAATAGTAGCTCATGGCTGTAGAGATCCTCTCCTCTTACTCAGCGATCCTAATCCTGCTGTCCTAAAACCACAATTATGATTCCTATAATTTCCTATAACGATAGTTCTTGCTTTTAAATTCTTCCTTCCATCCTTTCCCACCCTGGTTTCTTTATCAGTGTTTGTACTCTTTGCTTTCCCGTTGTCCTTGCTTACCCCATAGAATTGCAAACCTAATATTTGGATTCAGTAAAACCCTCGGGATCTTCCTGCCAAGTGGAGAATGTTGCATTTTCAGTTCATTTTCATCCATTGTCTTTGATGAGTTACTTTCACAATTGTTTTGGACAAATCCATGTGAAGTGGATTCATTTAAAGTTTCATTCCAATTGGCCTGAATTGTCAAAATGAACGCTACAACTGCAAAACTCTCAAAGTGACCTAGGAACAGACTTGTAATGTGGTTTGGGTTCCCAGCTCCCTGGATGCCTTGTATTTGTCTTACTGATATTCACTGTTCATTGCTCCATGTGTTACAAACTCATTGCATTGCCCATAGAAATGTAGTCGTGTTTGTAGCTTTTGTTATTTAGGTATATTGTACATGCTGTTTAGAAGTTATCTCCTATGATGTGATTGTTTCTTTGCCACCGTATTTATTCTGTAACAAAACTGAGTGGCATCCTGTATTGTTTTTTTCAGCCGGTAATATTAAAATAGAGACTCAGAGTGATGAAGAGAATGGGCGTGCCTGTGAAATGAATGGGGAAGAATGTGCGGAGGATTTACGAATGATTGATACCTCGGGAGAGAAAATGAATGGCTCGCACAATGGCCCAGGCAGCAAGGCTATGTCAGGAGTTGGAGGCATTCGACTTCCTAACGGAAAGCTAAAATGTGATATCTGTGGGATAATTTGCATCGGTCCCAATGTGCTCATGGTTCACAAACGAAGCCACACTGGTAAGGCCTGCCATAGTTTTTCCTTTAGTTGACATGAATTGGCCACATTTTAGGAACTAAGACTTATTTTCTGTATCGTGCACGTGTTCCCTCTTGTAAGATAATGCAGCATCGGTGGGCATTTGGAACTCGGTTATTTTGTTACGCCATTTTGGACAGCACAGGAATTGAGATTTCTTCTTGATGGTCGTCCATCTATTGGGCTAGAAATTGTGCAGTTTGTTTGGTTTGAAGCTACATGAAAAACTCAAATTTAAAAAAAAAAGTAAAGGAGTCTGTTTAATTTCTAAGAAATTTCTAAGAATTGCTGAAGAAAAACCCATTTGTGGCTAACTCTGAAATCAACCCAGTTCTAATGTTTCCAACAATGCAACAAAGCTCAATATGGATCAGTGATTATGAAAGCGATTGGCAAAATAAATGTTAAGGGAATTGTACTGGCAATCTTAGTAAAAAAGGGGTTAATTTTATGTCAAATGTTTCATGAAGTAAAAACAAGTATTGTCACTGGTCAAGTCTGGACTAAACGGTTTCCACTGGGACACTAAAAGGGACATGTAAAGATATTGTGCTCCATAGGGATGGCTTTTCATTATACAGTGCTGTGAATCTTCTTGCCTCAATTTTCTAATTCTAAATAGTCTCAAAGAGTGCAAAAAATGAAGAGGCTGAAACAAATGAAGAAGTAAAGACCAGGGTGAGTCTCACCTTACCTGATATAAGCTGTCTAAAATTTAGGCTTCCAATCTAAACTCTAAGATCATCCATAGTTGAAGGAGAAGAACTGAACTGTACTGTTGTGCTACACAAGTTACTTTGAAAATAAATAAATAAAGTATTTGGCATTTTTGCATGAATATTCAAATAAGAGGGAATTTTAAAATATTTTTAAGGTAAGAATGACCTGTCCAATGTTTACTTTCCGCTGAAATAGTCGTGCTAGTGAACACATAGATACTTTCTTCCTCCGCATCCCCCCAACCATGCTTAAATGCTTTCCCCAGAATTACTAAGGAGTGAGATTAGCAAAGTGTTTTCAGAGTTTAATGGAGAGGATCCATGAAAAGACCCCAAGTGTCGTCCATCCCCCCCGATGCTAATGTCTGTCATTGTAACTGTGGCTGTTCCAGCTCTGGAAGGGTGTGATCTGTTAGCGTAACGTGCATTAGCCACGTTCAGAAGCAGTGCTGGTGATAGTTGGCTACTTCAAAGTGCTCTTCAATTCAATACGATAAATCCCTCTGTCAGGGAAGAGCAGATAATTATCTTTATTGGAAAAGCCACAACTAGTTCTCAGAAGAGAGGCTCCAGCCTACTTCCTAGATATAATAAAGTTCTTGTTGGTCGACTGTTTCCTTTTTTTTTTTTTTAATTGGATGTTAATGTGATCCTTTAAAGGTTGATAAAATGTATATGGAAAATGACTTGGACATGAGGCCTTTTAAACAGACCCATGGGCTTGAAGAGGATGCTGTAGTAGTTGAAATAAAATGTTGCAACTTAAAATGCATTTAGAGGTAGAAGTCTTTGTGCTTGTTTAAGGAGGCTGCTGTTTTATTAAAAGTACGCTGTTGCTGCTTCGGAGGAGCTGTTTCCAGTCCCTGAGGGTCAGAGGCAGTGCTTGCACCAGGGCTGAATGGCCTGCGTGGGGACACACCCGATTTTAGGGAGGCGGCGAGCAGAGCTGCCTTTGTTTCTAGTGCACTGGTTGGTACCCGGCAGGCTGAGTCTCTGGAGGATGAACTGGGCCGCCTGTTCCCTGTGGCAGCGTCCCTGGGGGCCGCCTCACGGGTTTCCCTGGCACAGACCTCCAGCTGCCCAAACTCCCTGCCTGGCAGAGAGACTCACGTGCCTGCCAAGGGTGCTCGGGGCACTACCACACAAGGGCTGTCACTCCGAGACTTCTCCGCCCTTTGCAGAGCCCTCCCCTTGCCAACGGGACCCTCTTTTTAATCAGAGAACATAGTTAAAACCTACAGTGGAAGCATCCCATGAGCTGCAGTTCGCTCAGCAGGACCTCCTTCTTTTACACTTAATAAAACTAAAGGGTGTGAAGTTGCGCTCCTGAGTCCTTCCATGGAAAGAAAGCCTTTGCTTTCCCTCCCGCCTCGCCCTCAACTCTTCTTCTGAGCAGCCTCTTTGGGTGAGCTCAGGTGGCTTTTCGGGGGCTGGCAAGGGAGTGGAGGCTCGGAGCTGGTAGTCTAAATTAAAGGGACGTCATGGGGAAACAGTGTTGACTGCTTTTCCTTTCAGCTGCGCTGTGAAAATTAAAGTAGAAATGGGATATACTATTACAGACATTTAACTGACTACGGCGAAGCCCATTTCAATACATGCCCGGTGAAGGAGTAAGACTGGCAAATGAATTACTTTGCTGCTAATTCATGTAAAACCTGCATATGCAGTGAGGTTTCCTTAAATAAATATTTGATAAGTGAACAAAACTCTAGCACACTAAAGTGCCAAAATAAAATGACTGCCCAACCTGATAAAAGGCATAATTGCTTTTAATGAATACACCTGCCAACTGCAGATACGCAGAGCAGCACCTGATATTTCTGCCCCCTCCTGTCTGCAAGCAGCTGTACAGCACTGGCTGCTTCCTAGCGCCTTACCTGTTGCTCCCGTCTGCGGAGCAAGTCCCACTCACAGGAGATGCCCGACTCTCCTCACCCTCCTTCCCCAAGGCTTTCAGTATGTTGATTTTCTCCAGCCTGCTGCTGTCTTGCTTGGTGTTTAGGAAAAACGAGATCTAGAAAGGAAAGAGAAACTCCCTCCTGCTCCCTGGTGCTGAGAACTTGGGGTATAGATTCAGGCTTCGCTTGCTCAGTGTGCACCTATGTGTGTGCATGTGTGCATATGCATATATGTGCATGTTTATGTGTGTGCATAGGTATATAGGGTATATATTCCCTTTTTATATGTACGCTTCTTTAACTTAAGTCACCAGCTAGTTCAGTTATGTCTTGTTAGTTGGATCTGAATGTCTCAAATTTATTTAGAGAATTAATGCCCATTGAAGAATGAGCATTAAAAAAAAAAGAGAAGAAAGAGAGCTATGCACGCCTCTGAGTATTAGGTGATTTTGTCATTATATTGTTTAAGAAATGAGAAAGATTTCAATTAAGATGATAACTATTCTTCACTGAATAAGTAGTCCAGGGCCCGTGCTTCCACTAAGGCTTGCAAATCACTGCAATGGTGGTTGATTCAATTCAGGGTCCCATTGCAGTTTTTGCTCCTGGGCCCATATTTGTACATAGCTACACACCGGGTGAAATTGGTGTGAAATAGGGTGAAAATCTGCCCAGGGTAGACACGTGCTGTTCAGAACCGGCAACAAAATAACACACAAAGCTGACCGTTTCAACAAAAGATGCATTATGTGTTTTTTCCTTCTGTCCTGTCCCTTCCCCATTTTGGGGGGATAGCGCCACACCCAGTAACCTTCCATCAGCGACCGTCTCCATCCTAGCCGGGCTGGGAGCTTTGCTGGGCTCACAAGGCAGGCGTTCCCCACCCCAGTAGCTGCAGCACGGATGACCAAGGGCTGGCCAAGCTACACGTTGTTTCAGGGTCTTTTGGTGGTGGTGTCTTTTCCCTTGTACAGCAACATGAGTGCAGGTTCCCTTACATTTGATCCCACTGTAAGTTTTGTAGAAATACTTGGTATGCAGCAGTCTCGTTTGAAATGCTCCATCCGTCTGTCTTCTCCACCCAGTGCAAGATTTCACCCTGTAATTGCAAGAGCTGTAGGCTGGAGATACATTTCATTCTTACTTTGCTTTCCATTTCATTCCTGGAGTACTTTTACGATCCTCGTTTTCTCCTCTTATGCTCCTCTGAGTAAAAATAACAGAAATGAATGCTAGAAAAGCTGTTTAGTAAGAATTAACCATTTCTTCTGAATTTGTGTCCCCCATGACAAACTGACTTCTTCATTACTGTTTCAGTCCATTTCTGAAAAATACCTTCCACGCTGAGTAACTGCCCCAAAGATTAAGAGGTAAAGCAGACAGACTCTTACCCGTTTTCTTTTTCCCCTAACAACTACTGTGCATGGCTTATGAAGTACATTGCAAAATCCTGTAAGGCTAACACTGGCATTTTTGTGGGCCGCCCCAGTTGAAGCAGGTGCGGATATAGTTTAGGTGAACACAGTTACCTGCTGGACAAAGAAAGTGAGCTCGTTTGGCTTGACGGGGACTATGCTGACCTGCTTGAAGCTGTTTGACCAATGCCAATATCTTGCCATAAAGTAGATTCATTTTACTGTTTGCTGAGTGCTAAAGCTGCCAGCCCTGATTTTGCAGATTTTGCAGATTTTTGTGTTGGGACTGTGCTGCTGTCTAATTGATTTTCAGCTGTTCTACTGCATTACCCAAAAGTCAAAAATGATCATGCCGCACATATATGCGCACATATGGACATACAAGTTGTTCCTAGATGTGCAAAATAATGTGTGATGGTTAAGTAAGAGAGAAGAAAGAAATTGTTTAACTTGTTGGGGGTTTTTTTTTGTATTTTAATTTCAGCACTGAAAATTTAAATTCAATATTATTGTTACATAAAGAAAATAAAAACTAAGAACAGGTCATCTCTGGGCTGTTTCTAATATTGTCGATGCATTATAATTACTAGAGCAGATTACATTTATGCCTAAGAGAAACAGAATTCAGCAAATGAGTTTCAAAGGCTGGTTTGACTTAGTCGAAGGCTACAGAGAAACGGGCATGCAGGAGTGGTTCCTGTTGATGGAGTGCTCTCATGTATAAATTTTCCTTTACTGCTATCTGGTACAACTGGAAACATATTATATTTCCCACTGACTTTAGACAAGGCCTCATCTATCTTAAATTTTAAAAAAACAGCCAAGCGAATAAATGAGCATATTGATTTTAAACAGCACTAAAAAGCAAACAACAGCCGTATTAATTTTTGCAAAGGCTAATTGATTCGCTTCCTTGATAACAGGCACCAGTTCAGACAAATCAGTGCTCTGCCTCTTCAAGTTTTATCCTGCGTCCGTCCAAAGTGTAGGCCAGCAGAGCCCATTTGTGCAGCTCCTCCGTTCATACCTTACCTAGAGAAGGGTCGGGACTTTGGCATGGAAGTACAGGGCTTCCTCTGCACTTAACTTATGTGATTTTAGTCTCTCTCTTTCTCTCTCTTTCTCTGTCTCTTTCCTGATTTGGCTGCTTAGGGACAGACAGGTAATGGAGAAGAAATTGAAAGGGAAAATACAGGGAAAATGTAAATGAAAAGAAGTTATTATAACTGTTATAATGAAGTGCCTTTCATTTAAATATAAGAATGTAACGCTGAAATGAACTTGTGATCCTGAAATGCATTTTTAATGAGTTTCCTTTTTATTTTGCTGCTTCAGTGGCATATTTTAAAGACCCTTTGAAAAAAGCCACATTAAAAACCCCACCAAATGCCACAACATGCAAAATTGGATATTGGTTTATTCCAAAACTGCTGATCAGGAAGAGTGGCTCTTCAACACAAAATGTTGCAGTCACTTTATTTAAATGAGTTTGAATTTGCATTGTGATGTGCCATTCTGATTTAGAAAAAAAAAATTAGATTTTCAGATCAAATTGACCCAGCCAGTGAAGCATTAAGAAACTGGCAGGTTTAGTCTGAAAGCCTCATGTTATATCAAACCTGCAGCCGGTGGAAGTCACAGAGCAGCAGTGAGAAAACAACTTTCTCACTGAAATCTTTCTCTTGTTACCACGTAAGATTTTTTGTTCTCACATATTTTCTCCTTCTCCCCATAGGAGAACGCCCTTTCCAGTGCAATCAGTGCGGAGCCTCCTTTACACAGAAGGGCAACCTTCTGCGCCACATAAAGTTGCACTCGGGTGAAAAGCCCTTCAAGTGTCACCTGTGTAACTACGCCTGCCGTCGCAGGGATGCCCTCACGGGACACCTGAGGACTCACTCGGGTAAGTGAAGGTGTGGGACCATCCAGGGGACCCGTTGAGGAGACAGGGGCGTTGGCGGCCACCAAGCCTGAGAGGTCTTCTCACCCTGTGGAGGCGAGTAGCCCCATGTTGGGGTTAACCAAGCTGTGAGCTGGCCGCAGTGTTTTAGCAGCAAAGAAATGACTAAACTCATCTCATACGCATGTTCCTTCACCAGAAGAACTGTTTTTTTTCCTGTACTTCTTGGCTGATTAAAAGTTTCTGTATTAGGGTTTCCTCTTACAAGTCTCATGTGTGTAATCCATTTCATGGAACTACGAACGTGAATTAAAGCTGATGAATGTTTTAGAGTTTGAATGGCATTTATCCACATGTAGAGATAATATAAGGTCCAAACACAGTAGGTTTTAAGTCACGAAGTCTCAAAAACCTCCAGTCTGGTAGTCATTCTCGACCTAAGGAGTGAATACCACCTACAGCATTTGGCAGCAGTTATTTGTTGCACCTTGTTACTACAATTACTTTGAAAGAGAAAGGGTGGGAAGGAGGGAGAGGGTGGGAGAGAGAAAGATAATAATCTTCCAAAAAAGAGGACTCTGCTACCGTTTTTCAGTGTTTTGTCTCAACAGTAATATAGAGATCTGAATAAATATTTTTGAATAGCTGCGCTTTTCCATTACCACGAACCTCTCGTTGTTTGACAGAAGCCATAGTCACATACCTTTTGTGAAGCAAAACCAATTTAGCATCTTTAAAGTGCCTTTAAAAGCAGAGCGTTGTCTCATCTAGTTTCCCAAGCTAAGCTGGAAATGCAAGCTGTTATTTGGATAGGAGATCTGCAAAACACATTTCTGGAACTGACACTTGTAACTTTACTTGCAAAAGTTGGCTTTGGGACCAAGTTCTGGGTAGCAGAAGGGGAGCTCTCAAAGTGACATTTTTGTGTGGCACAAAACTAAGGAAATTCTTCTCCAGCACACACATTAAATAATAAGATCCCTAGTGTTGGTGCCAGATGTCCAAAATAATTTCCACTTCTCCTGTTTGGTCCTGGTCTGATTCAGGAAAGCACATCTTTAAAATACTGTTTTGCCTCCCTCTCCCTTACTGTTACTGATTTTCATGGCTGCACAATTTTAAACATAATTTTTCATATACACATGAAGTTACACCTAGACACTTTTGGCGAACTCTGAGGATTCCGTAGCTAAAGACACAATGGATAAACTGTAGATTTTTGATTAGTTCCTGCAGTTGGCAAATTGACATCAATACATTATAAAACAAGTTGGATATCTGAGTCTGATTTTCATCTGAGAATTTGTAAATAAAATTAGAATCATAGAATCATAGAATCATAGAATAGTTTGGGTTGGAAGGGACTCTAAAGGTCAATTCAGAAATTAAGCTGTGTAACCATCTAAAATTATGAAAAGACATATAAGGTGACAGTTTTGTCATGCTGAGACAGAAAATTCAGGTCCAGAAGTCCGTGAAACCATATTGTTACTGCGAAATGCCTGGAACTGCCTACATCTGGATTGGTGTAATACAGAAAAAAATTTGTCACGGCATTTCTCTTGAATTTCCAGAAGCAGAGGGCAAGAAAACATGTGAAATCTAACGTTGTCCTAAAAGGGTTGAACTGGTTCTGGTTACATCAGAGCTGACATCCAGCCGTGGGCAGGTGTCTCTACCTACACCACCAGTTCCCCTGTCGGCAGGCTCTGTGGGAGCTAGGCATTAAAGCAGCTATGCTCAGACCTTTGAAGGTGTCTTCGTTTCTAGCTTGTGTAGATGCCGTTTTTGAAGATTTAATGTCGCAGTCCTTATCTGATGTGAATCATCTGAAATCAGCTTGCAGCACCCACAGAATTGGCCTGTTGATGTAAAGATATACAACTAGTTTTCCATTAGTTTTTGGGTTTTTTTTAAATTGACAAAATCTTTCTTCAGTTCACCACAGCATGCATTTATTTTTGGAGTGGGCTTTTTTCCTGTTGTTCTTACCATTATTAATATGCTGTTGAATACCTCATCTGCATCTCTCAATTAATTGTGTTTTCTCCAGTTGGCAAACCCCATAAGTGTGGATACTGTGGTCGCAGCTATAAGCAGCGCAGCTCTTTGGAAGAACATAAAGAACGCTGTCATAACTACCTGCAAACCATGAATATCTCAAGCAGCCTTTATTCAGGTAATAAACGTGTCCGTTTGGGGATTAATGCTGTCCTGCCACGTATGCAGAAAAAGGAGTGTAAAAGGAACAGTAGTACCATTTGTGGCATCTTTTGCATTGGGGAGGCACACACACACCCCAGATATATGATATTGCATCTGGATTTATTCTATATTTGATAAATATTTGGCTGTTGTCTCGTTTTGTTTAGCTCAAACAAAAAGCCAAAGTAAAACTCAGGCACGTAGCAAAACACTTGTAAGACCTGGAAAATTTCAGTTCACCATCTCAAGACAGTACGACTACATCATCTCACCACCTTTCCCTTTTGCTTGGAGTCCTATATCGCAGTACTCTTGTGGATGTATTCTTAATAAAGACTTAATATCAGTATTCTAGGTAGGGCTGCAGAATCTTCTGCATTGCACATCTCCTGCCCTTCCCAGGCACAGCTTAAGGGGCTTACTTGACCACTGCGACCAACTCATCTAACAAGGATGAGCCATCTGTCTTTGATCTCACTCTTCCAAGAAAGAGGATGTGAAGGCAGAGGCATTTAATTTAGCCAGTTTGACTGAGACAGTCCAGAAAGGCTAATAATTTGTTGACAGCCTTCTTCCCAACTTCCCCTTCAAAAGAAAACTGGGGGGAGGTGAGGAGCTGTTGTGCTTCTCTGAGAGACCGGTCTTATGATGAAGGTAAAGTCCATTTCTTGGAGACTATCATCAACTCTAAAGCTATGCCCAGAAATAGAGCAAATGGATATCGGGGTTTGGAAGATTTTTAACAAAGATCCTAAAGATCTATATGGGATTGATCCCAGTAAATAGCCATACAAAATCCCCTTGCATGTGCAGTTTTAGATAGAGAATGTAAGATCCAGCTTCTGTGGTGGAGTTTAAGCCCATCCAGTAAGTTACATTTCTTGCATACCTTTTTGATCCTGTCAGTATATGTTATTTGGTTTGTCAAATGACAAAAATGGAAGGTTCTCTCTGACCTACTTGCAATGATGCCTTGTTTAATATTTTATATCTGGACAGAACCTGAATATGTTTTTACATGCTATCAAATAACGTAAAGTGTACGCACATAATGATAGCAGTGAATACAGCTGAGATGCTTCTGGCAGACAGCATATTAGAGCAGCGCCCCTTCTAATTTTATTGAGGGGCTGGAGACTGTATAAATAGAAAAGCTCAACATAAGATACAGTAGGCAACAATACTTATTGCTCAAAGAGGTGATAGGATTTAGAAGCCAATATTCTGTCTTGGGATTTGACTTTTTGGTGTCTGGCACATGGATTTGAATGCCTGCACACAGAACATGAAAATCTGCATGAATGAGTAGCTGAACTACTACTAAAGTCTTAGTAAGCAAAAATGTCCGGATGAAACGGATATAAGGAATCATAAGCTTTAATAAGAAATAATACAGTTTTAGAGATGGATCTTTGTTTATAGCAAATCATGACAGGAGAGTTTACACTAGCTTAGGACTGAATATCTAATAACTCAGTGGGGTGAAAACTTGGGGAATTCTTGAATGCTTGGAAGAATTAGTTCTTCCTTGCATATATTGAAAACATCATATAAATCTGTATTTGATATAATAGGAGTGCTTTTGCAAATTAGAAAATAATATTCAAGGAATAACTTCTGGGTTTAGACCTTGTATCCTGCCAAAAAAATCGCTCTTAAAATAAAAAATTTTAGTACTCCGTTAATAAATCAATTCCTTACGTTTCTAAAAATAAAACTTTCCTGCTTTTTTCCTAGTATTTTGCATTCTAAACAATCTATTCTGCTTCACTGCAAACATACCAGTTTGCCATGTTTACATTTTTTATTTCCCTTATAAACTCAAAGATGAAAACGTACAATGAAACAGTTGAGAATGAGTGAGTGTCCTTCTCGGATTTTTAGTGCATTCTACATTATAGCTAGAAAAGCAAGTAGTTACGCTACCACTGTTCTTATAATCATGGTGTGATATGGAGCTATTAGAGTCATAATTCAGGCCCTTTTTTTTCCCCCAGACTCAAAAAAGTTGGTACAAAAATCAGCTAGGACATCTAATTTGACATTCTGCTACAGTGGGATTGTTTTTTACAGCATTTTTAAAATACTTTGTGCTGTATACATAGAAAAAATGTCAGTTGAAAGGACCTAAACTGGTAAAAGCTTTCCATCAGCTTGTAAATCTAACAAATATAATTGGGAAAGTACTTAAATACGGGAAAGATCCAGAAAAGAGGAGTAAGGAGGGGAACATGAGATTGTATTTATATTTTAACTTTTGTTTGCTTTCTTTAAAAGAAGGAGATTCAGCATGAAATTAGGAACTTGATGAATTTAATGGCAAAATTCTTATTTTAGAGGACTAGAATCTCACTGTCCATGTGAAGTTCTTCTCTTAGAGATGCTAATTGGAGTTTTGCATTTGAGTTGAGTGGAAGTGTGCTGAAGTCTTACCAGGCCTATATAAAATAACAATAGAAATAGTTTATGAAGTTTAAAAAGGGTCAATTACAATTTCTTCCATCACTGGTGGATTTTCATTTGGAAAGATAATTTTTTTTTTTAATTTCAGTTCACAGACTCCAAATTACAGAAAAGTAGTTATCAGGTTGGTGGCAAATTTCAGGGGGTGTCAGTTGGGAAGGCTGGAAATTAGTATATGGTTAAATTTGGCCAGTTTGGGGGGGGAGGGGGTATAGCAGTTTTAAAAGTTGCAGTTTGAAAGTTGAATACATAACTTACCCTCTCTTGAATTGATTAGAAATGGAACGTTATATCCTAAACAGGTGTTTCTTGATCATTTCAACTTCTAATTAAAAACTCAATCTTTTGTTTCCCTGTCGAACGGGCTGCTTTAAAACATTCTCTGTAAATCTCTTCCTAAAGTGGTATCTGGAAGCCTTAGCCAGCACAAGATGCTTGCTAGTGTGTGCTTGTTTGATGACGACTAGATACCATCAATGCCCTTTACTATCCTGCATCTTCATGACCACGTTCGGCTCATACCTTGTGTTGGTCACAATCTTTAGCACCTTATGGGGCTGGGGCATAATTCCATGAGACTCGTCGCTGTCGCTGTCGCTGTCACTGCGGTTTGTGCTGCTGCAGCAGGGACTCAAGAACCAGTTGTGTACTCTTCTGCTTGGTCTTGCGGGTTGTTGCTGTCTAGGACACTTCACCTGCTTTTTCCAGTTGTCCACCAGACCCTGATTTCACATCTTTCAGGAACAATGAAACTTTTGCAATCATCCTTTTATAGCAGTGGTATATTGCCAAAATAACATTGCATAGGAACGGCGTGTTCTCAACTATTGAGAAACAACCAGGTACCAGAGAAATGGGTTCTGTGAACCCGTCTCATAGCTGAAAGGAATAAATCCAGTGATAAAACATTCTCAGCAGGCACAGAAGGCAAAATGTAGTGGAGCGGCGCACGTAATTGAAATAGCTTGCAGAACCAAAGTCTAAAAAATCATCTTTTGCTTCTCCCTTCAATAGCAACTCACAAGTTCAGGAAAAATATCCATATCCTAGTAGCAGGTAAAAGTAAAATTAACCCCTTTCTCTCCTGTCTCTGACCCCCCTCGCCAAAAAAAAAAGAAAAAACCAAAACCCAGTTGTGCTGTGATCTCGCTGCGTATCACCTTTCCTTTAGATGCTGGAAGTCAGAAATACCTTTCCGTACATTTGTCATAGTCATTGTTTTGACAGTGCATTTTCATACATCCCTTCTGTTTCTGCAGGAAAGTGCTGAAGTGAAACGTAGTGAAAGGGAAATAGTCTCCCTTTCCTAGAGCCTCACAGCTAAGCTCCTCTCTAATCCTACAGAGTCTCAGCAGCAGCAGGAAGTTGGGAAACGCGTTTGAGTGTCGGAAGTCAGTGCTCCACTATAAATGTGGCTTTAGCAACTTAGGTTAAATTGCCATTTAAAGTCTAAAATTGCATCAAGGAAGTTTAGCAATATTTACTAGGGGAAAAGGGGAGAAGGGAGGGTGTAGCTTGCACATACATCTTCCACTGCTGGAGTTGAGAAGTTTGTCCATTGCTCCTGCTAAAGAAGCAATGATCATACAGGTGGTTCCGCTGGGAGAGGTGCAGAGGGACAGGTGGGAGTGACAGTGGGAGGGTGAAAAGATGAACTGCTTCGTGTCCAGTATAATGTTAGGACGTAATTTACTCATGGAAATGCCGAGTGGCTGTAGAACAAGGGTGGAGTGTTTACGTTACATACAGGCAGACGCCTCGCAGTTGCAATCTCATTTTCGTATCCTAAACAAGGGAAAGATGAACATGTACATAGATTAATCAGCGTGAGGGACTTTGTTACCAGGAGTCAGAATCGTCCTGTGTCTGCAGTGGTGAGCTCCTCCTTCCAGCTGGTTGGGAGCTAAAAGTCATTAGCTGAGAAACAATAACCTGAAGACAATAGTTCCATTAAAATGGAACAAGCGTGCCTAACCCTTCTGATGTCATTTGATTTCAGTCATAAAAGAGGAAACTAACCAGAGTGAAATGGCTGAAGACCTGTGCAAGATAGGGTCAGAAAGATCCCTCGTGCTGGATAGACTAGCAAGTAACGTCGCCAAACGTAAGAGCTCTATGCCTCAGAAATTTGTTGGTAAGAGTTAAACGTTTGCTGTCTCCTAAAAAATAAACCAAAACAAAACCCAAAAAACATCTCACAGGATTTTTACTTTTGCTTTATGATTTTACTTGTTTTACTAAATTAGCAATATCTATCTCTATAGAAGCAGATACAGCAATGTGTTGGGGGAAAAAAAAAAACCCAACCAAACTTCTCCCACATACATTTCTGCATGTTTAATTTTCCACATCTGGAGATCGATTTTAAGTCTTTTTCCTGTCTTTTTCTAATGCTTATGAACCAGATCATTACAAGATCTGGACAGGCTTTTGAAGTTGCCTTAAGAACCTAAAGATAGGAATAGAAGTTTCCTATTGAAAAAGCATTTGACCACACTTTCAGGGTTATTTTATTAATTTCTTGGACGACATCCAGATCTGAGCATATTAGTGTTTGTGAAAGCATTTGTGAATAGTTGAGCATAGGCTGGATAATGTTCTTCACCCCTTCATAAAGTCTGTATACTTTTACAGCCCAAAATGAGAATGGAAATAAACATACATAGGTCTGAGAATAATACCTAAATGAAAAGATCTTTGGGTACATTCTATAAATGATGCAAAAAGTTCATGCCCATTTGCACCTAGTAGGCATGTTTTTGTCTTAGCAATGAAAAAATGGAGGCTACACCTATATTCTGTTTGGTAAGCCTGTACCAAGCAGTGGCTAGATCAGTTCTGTAATAGTGAGACCCACAGACAATATTTTGTCAGCTATGTAGAGTTAGTCTTAAATGAATAAAAACATGGGACATCAGAGGACAGCATATACTCATATCTAGTTAGATTCTTCTAGAATTCTCTGCACATTCATTTAGAATATTAGTCTGTAGGAGGCAATCAGAGAAAACTGAAGTCTGTGGAAAAAAACACACATTAAGAAGGTCTTCAGTCAAAAGTCAAGGCAAAAAAAGACCAGTTTATGGGACAGAAATTCCAAATGTACTTTATTCAATGAGGACACAAGGGTGAAAGGAAAGTTAGTATTTCTGAGACAAGGGAAGGGGACTCTCAGCTACGTCAGGAGGGGCAACAAAAGGTTTGAAATGGAATTCCAAGATTGTCTTCAAGTCCAAAGGCAACAATCCCAGGAGGTAGTCAATGATAAGAAATGCTTATGCTTATGAAAGGACAAAGTTGTAGTAGAGGTAGTTACAAAAAATATATCAACTATGTGAGGCAAACCTGATTCGTTTAGACACTCTAGTAACTGATTGCATTAGGCAAAATACTAATTCTGTGGAAGACCAGGAAGACCAGAAGTGTTAAAATTTAAAAGGTACTAGCGAGTATCCTATATGCGATGCATACGTGGGTGTGGACTAGTTTTTCATTCTCCTTTTCTCTCTTCACCCTGAATAACAGTAAAGACAGCCACTTTAACTATGAGTTTTAGGAGGGCAGAGTTTCCTGTCAGTTAGTTATTCAGGGTGCAGTGTAGGAAGACAACCTACTGACAGCAGATATTTATGGAAATTTGCTAACCTTCAAAAGGATGAACTTTTCTGACAAGAAAATGCCCCCAAATCCTTTCCTTTCCAATCTTCACCTGCTGCTTCATGTAATAGGTAAATTCCTGATTAACACAAGGTTGGGCCAGCTGGTCAGGAGAGCTTTTGGGTAATAAAACATGTTTATTGCTCCTGTAGATTACCGTGTCATCCCAATCCCCGTGCTGAATTCCAGGGAGAAGGAGCAAATGGCATCCTTCGCATAAGGGAGAGACTGTCTGCTGCTTTGCTCATCGTTAAGGCTAAATTCATTACCTTTCAAAAGTGAGATTGTTCACCAAATTAAGCCAGTTATCTGTAAAATTCTCTATCTATTCCTAACTGGCATAGCTCCTAGACCCGGGAGCAGAACTGGGCCATCCAAACTAGAGAGTGAGAACTGCAGGCGAGGTTGACACACATTTATCATGTTAAAACAATAGGCAGCAAAGAAAAGAGAAGGGGTTAAAAACAAAAAAAAAAGAAAAGAAAAGAAAAGAAAAGAAAAAAGTGCCCACCATGCACTGCATGCATTTTTACTATTTAGGTAGCTGCTGCAGAACCCTAAGCAGTGCAAACCATTAGCAGTTTAATTTACTTATGCTCTAATAACCACAGAAATGAGCTATTATTTTGAATGAGTGCAAGTATTGTCTGCATTGCCCACATACAGAAACGATACCTGCCTACCTCAAGTTTGAGTCTGTTTCAGACAGTTCTGCTTGGAAACAAATTTTTCTTAGGAGCACTTGATCCTCTCAGGCCACCTACCAACTGGTTGTGCTACATAAAGCAAATACTACCCAAGAAACAGCTATTAAAATGCCTTCTGGATGCCCAAAATTTTGTGTATAATGAAGACCAGTCCAACTTTTCAGTGATATAGAGTCCACATGGAATACAAACTATTTTGACCTCACTTTTTCCTCCTTGAGTTAACGGTATACATTCATATTAGGACAGGTTTTCTATATATCATTCAAGACTCTTTCATGACGCCTATTTGGAATCTTAAGCCTCGAACTCTGCCTGAAAACTATAGCATTAGAGTGGGTAAATCTGGAAAAAAAACTGCACCCCAGCAGAGGGGTGCTCAAATTGGCAGAATAATAGGGAAAGGAAACAAGAGGAAGTTGAAGCTTGTGCAGCACAGCTAGAAGGTGTCTGTACCCTACATCCCTTATAGGAACTTACGCAATGCTCAGAGTGTTTCTTTCTCTGCTTGCAGAGCATGGACAAACTAGTATGAAACCGTATCTTGTGGGAAATGTAGACAGCAGGACTTTCTACACTTTAGCCCCATCATTGCAATAGTGTCATGCTAGAACTTTTCTGGGCTCTTCACTGACTTTGAATAGTCAATTTGAGTAGAAACTGGGTGGGAAATTGTTGATAAATTAATTTGCAGATCTTCTGGTGAATTTTCCATGCCCCTATTAGCATTTCTTTTAGATAAATTAGGACTTTCCAAGGCCTACCAGCAAATGTCATGTTGATTAGGAAACGGTGACAGCACCTCATAGAGATACTTGTGGCTTTCAATGAATTTCCCAAGATCTGCAGAGCTCGAAAATCTATCCGGACTATAAACAATGGGTTATTCGTAAACCCTAGGAATCTGTGGGAATTTTCTACCCCTTAGCGTTTGCACAAATTTATTAGGAGCCTGATAATAACATTGATGGTTTACACTGTTTGAGAAGACTGTTCAGGTTCATAAAATCAGCGTCTGTGCATTTAAATGATTTCTCCCACTCCTAACTTTTACCATCTATGTTTTGCTTAGTCCTGTCTGTCCAGGAATTTTGAGAAATTGTAGTGAAACTCAGCATTCAATACTAGGGTATCCAGCTAGAGATACATCAGTGCAGCCCAATTTTAAAAAAATTAAGAGTTCCCCCTTACTTTTGGCATCCCAAATCAGAGTCAAAGTTACAAGTAACAAGTAATCTTGCACATATAGGGCTTTTTAACTCATAGGAAAAATGTATTCCAACTACAAATGCACTTCATTTTTTTCCATGGTTCTTGGCTGCTCCTATAGATCATAACCTTTGACACAAAATTTTTAGGAACGTGAGTAGCTTCTGGTAATGTGTCTAACATGGCTTATTTAAAAAACAAGGTGAGGGGGTGGGAGGTAGCAATATGAAAAGTTAAGTTTTTGTTGATTTTTCTCTGAAATGACATATGACCACATTACCAATGTGGGTTATTTGTAAGAAACTGAAGATCTAAAACTAAAACATACAATTTCCAGTCTAAAATTGTAATATTTTAGGGAAAAAATATTGGTAATGTGCTTCATGCTCTGAAGCATGAAGGCCAGGCTCACTGTAACAGTGCTGGTACACTGTCTCCACTAACCACAAAGGCATACCTCAGCTCACTGTAGGAGGCAGATGAGGGAGTCCAGTTAGAAAGGAGAAAGAGAGGATGAAGCACTCGATCTGTAGCTCCCACGAGTCCCCATATAGTTATTTCCAGAGTCTGTTTTCATCCATTTGCTTTTCCAAAGACCTCAAATTATTTTGCAGGTTAAAAAAAACACACCAACCAACCATTTTTCTGACCAGCTATGTTAGAGAACTATGAATACCTCAGGTGAATTTCAGAGGTGGATTTGATCAACTCTTTTCTTCCATGTTGCTGTTTTATTAATCCACGATGTTCAATTCCTTAATTTGGTAGAAATCGACCCTCTAACTCCTGACTGTTTTTCACTGCAGGTGAGAAATGTCTGCCCGATCTTCCATACGATGCCACCACCAACTATGAGAAGGAGAATGAGATAATGCAGACGCACGTTATAGACCAGGCCATTAATAACGCCATCAGTTACCTGGGGGCAGAGTCCTTGCGTCCCCTTGTCCAGACACCACCAGGTGGTTCTGAGGTGGTGCCCGTCATCAGCCCCATGTATCAGCTCCACAAACCTCTCGGGGACAATCAGGCTCGCTCCAACCATACAGCTCAGGACAGCGCAGTGGAAAACTTGTTGCTGCTTTCCAAAGCCAAATCTGTCTCCTCCGAACGAGATGCCTCCCCCAGCAACAGCTGCCAAGACTCAACAGATACAGAGAGCAATAACGAGGAACGCAGCGGTTTAATTTACCTGACAAACCACATAGGTCCCCCTGCGAGAAATGGCATCTCTATAAAAGAAGAAAACAGGCAATATGATGTCTTGAGGGCAGGTACTGACAATTCCCAGGATGCTTTCAAAGTGATCAGCAGCAATGGGGAGCAAGTGAAAGTTTACAAGTGCGAACATTGTCGAGTCCTTTTCTTGGATCACGTGATGTATACGATCCATATGGGCTGCCACGGGTTCCGCGATCCTTTTGAATGCAACATGTGTGGCTACCATAGCCAGGACAGGTACGAATTCTCTTCCCACATAACTCGAGGGGAGCATCGTTTCCACATGAGTTAAAACTCCTCCGGCACAGATCTAGCCTCAACAGCTGCGTTACTGGAGCTGCACGAGCCATGACAACAACAAAGCACAAGTGAGCTGGACAGTAAAAGTAACAAGAGAATCAAAAAGTTCAGCTATCTTCTCCCACAAGAAAATATTTTTCCTTTTGGTAGCGTGCATTGCAACCCAGTTTTCTAAAATGAGTACTAAAGTTTTTACTGAAAATGTTTGATCACCAAAAACCTTTAGTAATATAAGTAGGAGCTTTTGTAGTCACATAGCTGAAAGTCCTTCCCTTAACTGATGCTTCTTGCAAACCTCCCTTGCCAAAACTGTTAACCATGCGCAGGATGCACCATGCAGACGAGGACGCAACAGGCAGGAGTGGCCAAGCTTTCTCCCTTAACACCCTGAGCGTAGGGCTCTCACACCAGCTGTATGTTTTTTGACTTCCTGGTATTATTTGACTCTTTTGGGAAGATTAAACTCAACTAAAGATGGAGGGGTTCATCTCAGATGGCTTCACAGACAGCTGCGGGGGGGGATGGGACCCCCCCAGCCAGAGGGTTCTGAGTTGCTTTGGTGGTAAAAAGTAGAACGTTTCCACCTCCAAGGGTGCTGCTGGTATTGACAGCACGACATGCCTTGTTTGTGTCACTAGGCAGGCGAGCAGGTGTGTGACAGGTAGAAGAAGCACCCTTGTAATATACTCTGTGACGTATGAATTGCGTTTAATGTATAGAAAAAGGGTATGGTTGGCTTTTCTTTGAATAAATGTTTTCCCTCACTATCCAATAAAACCCCACTTTTCATTAAGCAAACCCTCCTCTCTCTGCACAAACAAGTTACAATGTATTTAATTTTTCTTTCTTTCTTTTTTAAGTTTTAGTTATTTAGAGAAGTATGATGTACAGTTGAGAAAAGCACTAGCTAGAAATACGTGGGGGGAAAGTCTCCTTATACACATTTTTCATCTTTTTAAACTACCTGGAAAATAGCCAAGCGTCCCTTTCTTACATGTGAAAAAAAAATCCCGTTTTGCTTGCACAGAAGATGTCCTCTTGTAGATTTTGTGGCTCTACTCGCAAGCGTTGCACTTAATTATTTTTAAAGCACTGAGCTGAATTAAGCCAGCCAGTCGAAATTTGTAGCCTTCTCCTTTTTTGCTGGCACTTGCTGTTTAATGAGGGACCAAGCCCCGCAAAAGTGCTGAGAACCCTGGCTTCCTATTCAACAAATCATTTCACCGTGTGCTTTAAGTTACTTTTACTTCAGTGGAACTCATCTTAAGGTTTAAAAAATGGCGTTTTGCTGAATGGAGGCCAGAGACTGCAGCGCTTTGCAGAGCGCAGTAAAGTCCACCGCGAGCTTTCTCCGTGGCGGGTTCTGCTGCAGATACCGTAACTTCAGTTAGAATAAAAACTTCTGTGACAAATAGATTTTAACCCCAAACACAGCTGATATAAAAAAAAAACTTTTTTTAAAGCCTGTACTTAACTTCCTCTTCCAAATAGTTCATTCCTCTCCCTGAACACCCTCGTACTTTAAGATTGGGCAAAAAAGACATTTTTGCAGCTGCATAAAAATCTGTCATCGGTGCTGCAATACTTCCTGGGCAACATTCGTAAAAATAACTCATCTTATTAACTTAATGTATAAATACTTCCACTCTGCATAATAAATGGATGTTCTGCAATAAACACGATCGTATATCCAAGAAGACTAGCAGTCTTGTCATACAGTTACACGTTCTCCATTCACAACTGCATGCAAGCACATATATTTGTTATAAAAGCGATTCGGTGCAACCATGAACACTTGTACCTAGGCCAATTTGGCCTGATACATGTAGCTATATTTGATATACATTTCCTATATATACATACTATTACAGGCACGCAGAGTTCCTTCTTCTGCTTTCACTTTTGCAGGTGTAAGTCAGGAGCAACAACACTGAAGTTAGAGGAAAAATACTGATGAAATAATGAATTACAAATACATGCTTTCACAATCCCATGTCTTAGCTTTTCATGCCAACTGTAAGACACTTTTACTTCATATGACGCATGGGCACAGAGGTGTTTTTACACTGAAAGTGCACGCGTGCGTGCCTATTCCGTAGCTTTGTCACCAGATGTGACTGCTGCGCGCGAACCTCCGTAGGCTGGTGCATACACCCACAACAGTGAAAACAAATTACTAGTACATGTTAGGTAGGCTAGTTGGCCAACAACCTCCCCTCCCCCCGCCCCCCCCCCGAAAAATGAGGAGACTGCAGGCCCAGAGGTGATCCCCTCCACTCCTGCATTATAATTCAGTTGCCTTAAGAGACGTGATTGCTTGTTATCTTCCAGCCCGAGACACTGTGCGGGGGGTGGGCACAAGGAATCGTCAGCCACTTTCGCGCCCCAGCTACGGTTTTGTCATCAATGCCTGCTACACGTTCAGCTTCAAGACAGACTGTACCTGCCAACGAGGTATTACCAAATATTTTGTATAGGAATGACCTGGAGAGGACCTTCAAGGGGCGAGCTTACGGTCATGAGTTTCCTTTATTTGGTTTTTTTTAAATAAAGTTGAAACGGGGTCTTTTTTCATAGCCGGTAGGGGTACATTCAGCTGTTCTTACCCCTCTCCACTTTCGATTGATACCAGCCAAGAAGGGGTAATTTCCCAGCCCTGCTGCAATGGCCTGTGTGAAGTCGGAGATTGGCTGTGCAGAAACATTCTGCTTTTATTGCTCTTGCACCTCTTTCCTACTGTTCTTAGATTTAGGCCACTGTATACCCCATGCCATAATTTTTTTTAACCCTTGATTTTAAGACACCCCAAGCTATAAAAGGGAGGGGACAGAAGCTTACTCAGGTGGTTTTGTTTCTTTGCTTTTACTAAAATCCAACACGAATAAAGCCACGTTCATTAACCATGTAAACAAGCGTAGCTCCAGTGGAGTTTAAGACTGCCTTGAACTTAGCTTTGAAATGTGATTTCTGATTACTGGGTAGGTTCACTGCCTTTGCAACATCTCTGCGCACACATGCACGTGTATGAGTTTCTGTGTCGCTTTTCTTGTCGACAGGCACATGCCCTACCTGTGGTTTTGTGTATCATTAATATTTTATATACATATGTACGTGTGTGTGTATATATCTAAAATGGTTCATGTGGCACGATGATGCACTGTCAATCACAGTGGGTTTGTTTCCTGGGTCTGGACTTTTCTTATTTATACTATAACAGAATATGTTGATGTTGTATATTAAACAGTACAGTAGTATAAGTAAGTATATTAAGGCACAGTGTATCAGAGGGCATAGTCTAAAGGCAGGAGCAAACAGCATTCTCTGTTCACCAAGGGGCTTTTTTAGGGTTGCTTTTTTCTGTGGGTTTTTTTTTTTTTCGTTTTTGCACAAAACCATCTTCAATTTGTTTAGAAACAAGCGTTTCAATAATTTTATTTATGAACATACGCAAGGATGGCATGAAAATAGGATGTTGTGTGTGTGTACATCGAAACAAACTGTGCCCTCGGAAAACTAGTTTAGTGTAATCTCCCTTTTTTTTGCTATGGTGCAATACCCTGATATGGTTTAGCTGAACCCTAAAACGAGTAAATATGGTGAATGGCTTTAAGTTTATATCTGTTTTAAAAAAAGTAAAAAATAACCGCTTCCCAGCCCTTCCCCAGACACTGCCTTTTCTAATAGAAAAGTTGTATTTACACCCTTTTTTTTGCTCTGATTTTATATTGTAACTTCATTTTTCTTTGAGAACATTGTATTTAAAAAAAAACGAGCAAATTTCATTAAAATTGGAAATGTTATTAAATTATATCTGCAGAGCGACACGTATCTTTTGAGGCAAGAGAACACGGTAAACAACCCAAACCCCAGAACATTTCTGTCACTCTCCTGGCGGGTGAAGAAGCCGTTCGGTACAGCTGGAGGCCCTGTGCGCGTGGGGCGGTGACCAGCGTCCTGCGCGGCCCCGGCCCCTGCTGCCGCGCCTACAGCCCGCACCACGGCGAGCTCATCCTCGCTCTCCTCGCAGCCCACCTTCTGCGGCCAGAGAGAGTCACGCTGTGTCGGTCACCCTGCGCTCGCCAGCTACGTGACGCAGCAGCCCCGCTAAGCCAGCTCCAGCTGAAGATCACGTCCTAAATTGGCTACCTCCCGCCCAGAGTGTCCCTGGCCACAAATCTCGCACAGCTCCTGCCCGCAGCTGACTCTGAGAAGGTTGCTTCCCTTCCAGCCCTCTCCTCTCACCCTTCCCTCCCACCAGCCGGCCGAAGTCATCACACAACACGATTGCTTCTGCGTGTAGGGTCATGGTAATTCAAAACAAAACACTGAGAAATGATTTCTACTATTTGCCATAACAAAGGTGATTTCTCTGCGGGTGTCCCCGTTTCCTTCAGATTCCAGCACAGTAAATTTCACATCACGTATTTAATGCAAACAAGAATCACTCTTTTGCTTAGAAAAAGCACCGTTTATGAAGTTTTAGAAATATTTCCATTTGTAAAACGTATCATTAGGAACAAAATGAGATTTTAAAAACCGCCAAACTCTAATGGTATTGCAATCAATTCTCTTACAGGTTCCCAAAATCTAAATTTTCCGTAAGTTACTGTGATATGGTTTCATCATAAACTATGACTATTTTTCTATAACAAGGAACCTTTTAATGTCCTGATTCTTTTGTTCACCATCAAAGCTAGTTCTCCGTAAATGAAATGAACTACAAATTTCTGTTTCAGTGGGTGACTCTTCTGCAAAGTAAACATGGTCTATTAAATAATAATAATAGTCACAAAAATAGACCAAATGTAATATTCTCAACCAATGTTATTAAACCCTTGAACTGAAGTAGAGACATCCACAGATTTAAATGCAAGTTTGTGTACCTAAAATTCTATTCTGGGTATCTATCTGTTATGATTCAAAGACTTCCTTAAAATCGTCATATTTATATTTTTTCCTACTCCAATAGCGTGATTAAATTACACCAGAAACTGTTGTAGGTGCCGAGATACGAACTGTTATACAGACACAAACATACGACTTCCAGGGGTATTTTCAGCCTCGAGTGCCCAAACAGGCTTCCCAATCCATATATAAGCATCAAAACACCAAAACAGTATTAAGATGTGCTCAGCAACCAACGTTTTCTAGTCAGTCTTTGAAACCAAGAAATACACTAAAACACACAAGATTCCTTTAGTAGATATCGAAATGAGAACTCGGAGCCAGACCTGGAGCATGCAGATCTGATAATGTAACAATTTCCTAGTTGGTTTTTTTGGAGGGGTGGGGGGGGTGGGGTGGGGATCACAACATCTTATTTGGGGAAAAGGGGTTAGAAATGCTCCTGGCTTTGCCAGTACACTGAGGATATTGCACTGGTTCTGTCGGCTTGTGAGGGGGTCAAAAATAAAGGAGAAGCTTTTGCTGAAAGCTTCAAGTTTCAGCAGCAGCAGCAGCAGCGACAATTTGAAAGTTGAAAATGTTGCAACTGGAAAACCAAAATGTTTGATTTCTGAAAAAACTGTTCCTGCCTGTCTTGTGGGTCAGAG